GCTCATAAAAATAGAAGAGGATTTGGTAACAAATTAGTAAGCAAGGATTTGGCTCATTTATGTTTTAGATTTCTTCGCAAAGTCTAGGCTCCAGGAACAAGATATCCAGAGGAGACCTACTTCTTTATACGCCCACATGTGCAACCCCTGGGTCTCCCTGTTGGGGGTGAGTAACTTCATTTTGATCTCAATTGTCCTTGAAACATAATTCAGGTGGAGACATGTATGATCTCACAGTTGGGGTAGAGGGGAGGAAACAGGAGAGTCTTAACTAAGAGCAATGTGATTTAATTACATGTTATATTAGAATGTAGATGAGAGTACATATGACAACATTACGTTTAATACACCACTTATTTTAATCAGTGGTTTACTTGTAAAATCATTAATCACCTTTGATAAACTCTGGGTCATTAAATTTCTAGGTACACCAAATGACATAATTTCACTCTAATTTGTTTCTTTTAGGAAAGAGTAGGACAAGGAGTTAAGATAGAATATCGATTTATTGCTAATTTTGATTAGCGGGTACTTTCAGGAGGGTGTTTTCTCAAATATCTGCTTAAGTGAGTTTTTGCTTGAATTGAGTCAACTTCAACTATTCAGACTTTTATAGTAATCAGAAGTTGATGAGAGGGACTCTTGTTTCTTAAGGTACTAGTCCTGTAGCTTGCTCATCACATGATAAAACATTAGGTGACTTGCCCTTCCTCCTCTGTTTCCACAGGCTATCGGGTCTCTTCTCATCATGTTTGTGATCCAGTGGGTCTATACTCTGGTTAACCTAGGTGTTGCTGCCATTGTGTATTTCTACATTGGTCAAACCAGCCCAGGGCTTCATCTTGGTAAGCAGCAGAGCCAATTTGCCACCACCTCCCTTCTTCTCTTACAGCATTCATGGAAGAATCATGTTTTGAGCACCTACTAAATGTCAACACTGACTGAGCTATGAATCCCATTTTCAAGTAGCCTACAGTCTAGGAGGAAAAATATGACATGCATATAAATTATAACAAATAAACAATAACAACTTGTGAGGTTTATAAGACATGTAGAAGTAAAATTAATGACAACGCTAGCACAAGGGCCAGGAGGGAAGAAATGGAAATATACTGTTGTCAGTTTATGATACTACATGTAAAATACTATGTCACTTAAAGGTAGACTGTGGTAAGTTAAAAATGTGTACTACGAATCCTAAAGCAACCACTAAAATAACACCACAAAGAGTTATAGCTAATAAGCCAATAAAGAAGATAAAATTGAATTTAAAAATGCGCAAATAAAAATAAAGCAGGAAAAGAGGAAAAGATAATAAAAGCCTAGAAATTGACCCACACATATGTGGTCAGTTGATTTTCAAAAAAGGTGCAAAGGCAATTCAGTGGGAAAAAAAATAGTCTTTTCAACAAATGGTGCTAGAACAAATGAAAATCCATGTGCAAAAAATAAACTTCAATCCACATATCATACAATGTAAAAACAATAAAAATTGATACTGTAACTAAATGCAAAACTTAAAACTACAAAATTTCTAAGAGAAAGTATAGTAAAAAAAAAACCTTTGTGACTGTGAATGAGGCAAATAAATCTTAGATAAAACACCAAAAGCAGGAAAAAAGTTGATGAATTGGACTTGATCAAAATCAAGGATTCTGATCTTCCAAACACACAGGTAAAGGAATGCAAAGGCAAGCCATAGACTGAGAAAATATTAGCAAATCACTTCTGATAAATTATTTGTATCTAGAATATATAAAAGCTCTTAAAACTCAATAATAAGAAAACAAAGAGATAAAACAAAAATGGGCAGAGGTTTTAAGTTAATTTCACCAAAGAACATATATGGGTGGCAAATAAGAAAATGAGAAGATGCTTAACATGATTAGTCCTTAGAAAATGCAAATTGAAACCACAATATACTACTACTACCCACTTATTAGCAGGATTAAAATTTAAAATACTGATCATTCCAAGTGCTGACAAGGATGTGGAGCAACTAGAACTATCATATACTGCTGATGGGAATATAAAATAATACAACCACTCTGTAAAACAGTTTGGCAGTTTATTAAAAGGTGAACATATACCTGCTATATGAACTAACCACGGTACTCCTAGGTTTTTATCCAAGAAGACTGAAAGCATATGGTCATACAAAAACACATACATGAATATTCATAGCAGCTTAATTTGTAGTAGCCAAAACAATGCAAATGTCCATCAACAGGTGACTGTATAAATAAATTGTAGAATAACCATACAGTGGAATACTACTAAACAATAAAAAGAATGAGCTATTGATACATGCACTAACTTGGATGAATCTCAAATAATTATGTTAAGTGAAAGAAACCAGACAAAAAGAGTATATAGTATAACATAGGTAAGTATTGAAAACGCAAACTAATCTATAATGAAAGCAGATCAGTGGTTGCCTTTGGATGAGGGTGGGGGTGAGGATGCGTGGGAGGGAGGTCTTAGGAAGTGGCTTGAGGAATCTTTTGGAGGTGACAGATATATTCATGATCTTGCTTGCGATGGTTTCACAGTGTATAAATGTGTCAACACTTACTAAATTGTACACTTTGAATGTATGTAGTTTGTTCTAAAAATGTACCCAGGATTTGTTTTAATCCGGTATGTTAAAACATACAGACATAGAAATGATTGTCATGAAGGAAGAATTCATATTCACAGATGCCTGGAAACAGGAGGCACAGCGTCCCGTGCAGGGCCACATGGGGAAAGGACCAGCGTAGGTCATGAGATAGAAGAGAGAGAGAGAGAAGAGCATGGCCCAGAGCCTTTACTAGGGTTTTAATAGGAAGAAATGGGTGAGGCAGGTAGGTAGCTGAGTGAGTTTAGGATTGGTCTGAATAATTTCAGTGGGCTCTGAGTTATAGGGATGGTCTCTAGTTGTCTGGTATCTGGCTCTGGTACAGGGTAGTATTGGCTTGGTGGGTGAGAATTTGATAACAGAGGTGGTTGGGGATGTGGACTCTGAGTTGGTTGGTTTGTATTTCAAAGGTGTGCTCACGGGGAAGTTGTTTGCTATCTCTAGGAATTAGCACCTCTAGGATCAAGTTCCCAAATGCCAGGGCATCAAGAATACAGAAAGTAAGAAATTATAGTCAATACTCTGTTTCTTGAATGTCAGTTCTTTCTCAATAATAAAGCTGTTCTAAAAAATACAAGTGAGCACCCTTTCCAGCAAAATTCTGTAATGCCCCAATTTAAAATAATTAGTTTTTAAGTCTTAACTAAATCAGATAAACCATAACAATCTAGGCAAACTGAAAAACAAATTCTTCAAAATTAAAATAGTTTTATGTAGAGTTTTGAAAGAAAGGTACTTCAAACACTGTAAGTCACATGCACATTAAGAATAATGCTTTGGAGGACTTCTGGCCTAGGTGGAGGCGTAGAAAGGAGAACAGCACATCCCAGAAAGAAGACATGCCCTGTCCAAGGCCCTCAGCGGGTAACCGTGTTGGAAGGCCAGGTCTCCCAGTTCAAGATCCTTCAAAACCCCCCCTCCTCTCTGAAGCCTCCCGGTGATGGTTAATTTTTTGTCAACTTGAGTGGGCCCCAGTGGGCCCATATTAAACATTATTTCTGGGTGTGTCTATGAGGGTGTTCAAGGAAAAAAAAAAAGGCTACATTAGAAAAAATCATGCTAAGAAGAGGTCCTTATATCAGCTAATTTAAGGGATAGAATATATTTTTATTAACATACTGATTACATCGGTGATTTTTTTAGGAGTTAGTTTGAACTTAAGAAAATCAAATATTTCCTAGAAATTGATTCACAGGAAAGTCTGAGATCAAATTTTAGGCCAATCTTCATCTAAAATTTAGGTAATTTAGAATCAAAATGATCACAAATAAGTAAGGTTAGTTAATAAAATGTTTATGTTTATTTTATTCCTTCTGACAACATCAGAATATATTAGAAACTTTCTATTTGTAATTGCAGATATTAATGCAAATCTAAAATTTATCCTCTCTTAAAGCCTAAGAACCCTAAATGAGTCTGAGTAGATACATGTTATCAGCTGCATCAACTGTTGACTTTAGCCAAGATTCTAACATAAGCCCCTTAAAATGATGCTAACTTCCTGATCATATATTGAACATTATCTAATTAACTAATTTTCAACCANCTGATAAAAGCATACCTTCCAAAGCATATTATTTTCAAAAACAGGAAGGTCAAAATCCAGATTCTACTAAAGAGAGGTCAGAAGAGATGAACATTCAGTTTATATTTGAAAAATCAATGCCCAGGCTCATTCACTGTCCACTCAGCAAACTATTATTAAGTGTTAAATATTGTTAGTAGCTAAAAATAGCCAGCATTTATTGAGCATGTCCCATGTTCCTGGCACTGAGAGATGCACTTAACCCAGAGAGGCTTACAGAAATTAAACACTTGCTCAGATTATAAAACAGTTAGAATTTGAACTCAGGCCTGTGTTACTTTTGAACCTCAGTTCTTAACCACTACACAAAGTGTATGCTGCTTGCTGTCAGTATGTTGTATGAACTAGGCCGTGGTATTGATTAAATGAACACAAGTTAAACCACCTTTAAGATATCATTACATATCTATTAAGCTGTCAAAAATTTAGATAAAAAATAGTAGGTCTTTGGTAATCAGGTATATGTACACATTGCTAGAAGTAATGTCAAGGGATTCGTTCCTAATGGATTAAAGATTTTCATCAAATTTGGGAGGTTTTTACCTATTATTTCTTCAAATATTTTTATCTGCCTGTTCCTTTCTTTCCTGCCCTCATGGAACTAACATTACATATTAGTTAGCACACTTGATATTGTCCCCAAGGTCTTTGAGGCTCAGTTTCTTTTTCTTCCACCTCGTCCCCCCTTTATTCTTCAGTTTGGGTAATTTTTATTGATCTATCTAAAAGTTCACTGATTCTTTCTTCTGCTGTCTCACATCTGCTGTTGGGCCCATCTAATAATTTTTTTCATTTCTGTTATTGTGCTTTTTAACTGTAGAATTTTCATCTGGTTCTTTTTTATAGTCTCTCTTGATAATCCCCTGTTTTGAAAGTCATTGTCATATTGTGTTTAAGTCACTGACATTGTATTTTTATTTAATTCTTTGAACATATTTATTATACTATCTGCTTTGAAGTCTTTGCTAAACCAAACATGTGGGCTGACTTAAAGTCAGTTTCTTTTGATTGCTTTTTTCCCTGAGCACGGGTCACAGTTTCCGTCTTGTAATTTTTGGTTGAAAACTGGTCAATTTAGATAATATATTGTGGCAACTCCTGATTTTTATGTATGCTTCTGAGTTTTTGTTGGTTTGTTTTAGCAAATTGCCTAGATTTGAAC